TATTTTCAATACTGAAATGACTTGCGAAATACGTGATCCATCTAAAGCGGTACTGGAGCCATTTCCCACCTCTGTTCTCTGACATACGCAGGGGACATGCTGATTTATAAGCCAAGTGGGCCCAAAGGCACTGAATACTAACCTAGTGTCAATCGAGGGCAACTCACACAGAATTAAAGCGGTGACGGAGGAAGTTTAATGACAGAAAACCTGTGCTGATTGAAGCAATAGAGGGAGTTCATCAAAACAGATTCGTCACCATCATCGCGTCGTGGATCGGGGGAAATTGTTTTTAGTAAAATCTCATTGGTGAAGGTAGAAATGTTGTTTACGCACTAACTATGCATGGTAAGTGATGCTTCTACCGAAACTCAGTACACAGTCATTCAACAACAGTCCCATATACCTGTAAGGCTGATGAAAATTCCACCATTAGAAGGCAGTTTTTTAAGAGGAATGGCTTTCTGCAAAACAGCCCATTTTATAGATGCTCGCAATACCGAAGGGGAAGGGAGATGCACACAGCAATTCAGATGTATTGCCATGAAAGGTCATCCGCTGTTGGTCCAGATAACACAACTTCAGTGTGAAAATAGTTGACATGCGAAGCAAGTGGAACCATCGACCAAGGAGCCTTCCGATAATAAATTAAAAACCAATTTCGCGCAAAGGCTGGAAGTGAAATATCACATAACTTTGGAATTTACCCGATGACGCCTCACATATATTTCAAAAAAGTACATTTTGCTAATCCCTTCAGTAGGATATATTAACATTCTATGAAGTAAGCAGCAATATTGAAAACCAACGAAAACAAGTTCATTAGATAGCTATGAACTTGAGCACAAGCACATCTTTCGGATGGAAACAGTTTCATTCCTCGGGAGAGTATATGGCCCCCACTGTATGAAGTTGATTGCGATCCATTAATAGCAGCGGATATCTCTCCGGACTAGAGTATGCAGCAGGGGGACACTTGAGCCCATTTTAAGAGTACATTCAGTAGCCGAAAACGACCGTTTCACTAGCTTTTCTGGTGGTCCAAACACAAAGTCGTGATTGTGTTCTTGGCGTCACAGAAGAGCGTTAACAAACTTGATACAAAACAGGTCAAAAAATTATGCTAGTGATCTAGTAATAACATCCTGAATCCGGAAATACTACTCAGATATGGCAAAGCTGGTATTAAGTATCATTTCCAGACTGTCTGCCTTTATTTTCGGTTATGGCAAAGGCTTTCGATGGATCTGCAGTTCGACTGACAAACCCACCACATATAGGCCGACGGATGGAAAAAAGTGCTAAGGAGACTCACCTCCAAGGTGATTGGATGATGTAGCAGCTGCCAGTCCGTATCATGCGGGAAATGCGTGTAGATGAGTTGACTGGGGTTGGCGAGGAAGTAGAAGGTGTCCAGCACATAGCGGATGTTCTCCACGCTGGCGCGTTTCACGAT